AAAGGGTCTAGGCCCGAAACTTCAGCCTTCCTGCTCCTATGATGCTGCTTGGCCTGCTGTGTTCATCCAGCCCTGCACCTTGTTGTCTCGGATTCTCCAGCATCTGCAGTTCCTACTATCTCTGACTCAGTAATGTATATTGTTTGTATGCATAATATATCACCATTCCTTCACTGTTGTTGAGTCAAAATCCTGAAACTCCCTCCTTTGTAAGTCCACCTTCACCAAATGGACTGCAGTGGTTCAAGAAGGAGGCTCACTCACACCTTCTCAAGGACAAGTAGGGACAAACAATAAATGCTGGGCCAACCACCAATGTCCATATCTCATGAGTGAATGAATAAAACAAAGCTGCTAACTCCTGCAGGTACCATTAATATTACTCCTGAGAGTAAACAACTGTACAACATAATGTGGAGGTGCTGGTGTTGGACTGGATTGTGATCTTGTCCATCCCAGTCCAACACCAGCACCTCCACACCAGCACGCAGAAGTCACACAAACACCAGGTTGTAGTCCAACAAGTTTATTTGAAATCACAAGTTTTCAGAGCACCACTCCTTCATCAGAAGAAAAGCACACAGGCACAGAATTTATAGGCAGAGAGATCAATAAGCAGAGAGATCAAATGATCATGCAAAAGATGTGAGTGGAGTTTTGACAGGCTGAATAATAAGTCTCTGCAGGTCATCAAAAGTGTCAGACAGTGTGAGTAAAGTGTCAAAAGTTGAATAGCAGGTGAATGGATAACCAATAATCCGATTAATTGAGGCAGAGATATGACTACAAAGAATTAAAACTAAGGTGGTGCAGCAGTCAAACCAAACAGTTGGAATAACACAATACGTAGAAGAGTCGCAGTCGAGGGCCTACTTGGATTACTGTTACTTTGGTTAGACCCTTGACATGCGACTCTTATCCCTATCATGTTATTCTCGCCATTTGATTTGTCTCCAGTACCACCTTATTTTTGTTTTTTTGTAATTATCTCCCTGCCTCAATTAATCAGATTATAGGTCATGCCTTCACTTACTATTCAACAGTTGACACTTTACCTACACCATCTGACACTTTTGATCACCTGCAGAGATTTATTACTCAGCCTGTCAACACTCCACTCACACATTTTGTATGATTTTTTGATCTGTCTGCCGATTGATCTCTCTGCCTATAAATTCTGTGCCTGTGTTCTTCTCTCTCACTTCACCTGACAAAGGAGCAGCGCTACGAAAGCTTGTGATTTCAAATAAACCTGTTGAACTATAACCTGGTGTCATGTGACTTCTGATCAACACTAAGACATATTAAACCACTGCCCTTTACCTGTTTTGCTTGTTAAGCTGCAATTAATGCTTGCTTGCTAAGTTCTTGAGACTTGCTGTTGAGAATACTTTCAGCCCCACCCACTTACATTCTAATTTCTAAAACATATTGCCAGCTATACAAAGGAAAACAAGCCAGGTTTATGGAAAAGAAATTTTATTGCTGGCATGGTAAGCCAGTGGTTTAAATTGTTTAGAAACCCAGGGCTCAGGATATAGGAAAAAGCAAAGTACTACGCTTGCTGAAGTTCCAAAATAAAAACAGAAAGTGTCGGAGAAACTGTCAGTGTTTGTGGAGAGAGATGTTCATTTTGCTATGTGTACTAATGGTGGACCATCAGATTGTAAAAAGATGTGCAGATCTATTACACATGTTTGTATTAAATGTGTAGTTAGTATGATATTATTTAATTTTGCTTTTCACTTCAGTTCTACATGTGTGATCCAAATATGATTCCTGATTTTAGTGGGACATATTCTGGAACATATCAACAATTGAATGACTATTTGTTTCCAATCACTGTACCCACACTCCCCATTTGCCTGGATGGGTGCAGCTCCAACAACACTCAAGAAGCTTGATGCCATCCAGGACAAAGTAGTTGCTTAATTGACACTACATCCACAAACATTCATTCCCTCCACCTTTGATGCTCAGTCGCAGCACAGTGTACCATCTCTAAGATGCACTGCAGAAATTCACCAAGGTTGCTTAGACAGTACTTTCCAAACCTATGACTACAATGATCTAGAAGAACCATGGCATTTGATACATTGAAATATCACCACCTGCAAGTTCCCTTCCAAGTTGCTCACCAACCTGACTTAGAAATATGTTGCTTTTCCTTCAGTGTTGCTGAGTCAAAGTCCTGGAACTCCCTCCCTAACAGTATTGAAGGTCTACCAATAGCATCTGGACTGCAGCAGTTCAAGAAGGCTGCTCACCAATTAGAGATGTGAGAGAATAAAGAAAAATGAGGAGCAGTAAGAATAGAAGGATTGTTGACACCATTAGATGAAGCAGATTGCATGGATGGAAACTCATTTGGTGTGATAATACTGATGTGCCAAATGATGTTTCTGTGCTGTAAGTACTCTGTTATTGTGTAATGCAATTTCAGGGAACTTTAATGAGCTGGTTAATTTTGTGGAAGTGCCAGAGCAGTTCCTGTCAGTGAGTCTCATTTCTCCTATAAACTACAAGCTGCAACAGTTTCTTGCAGAAACCATGTACTGCTTTAGACTCAGACAATCTGGATTGTTGTCCCTTTAGTTTTTTCCTAGTGTCTCTATAAGGTGGCATCAACAGCAAAATACACTCTGTTCATGAAGCTAATTCAATGTCCATCTACCATTACACTCATAATAGCATAGAAATGTTTACAAGGAGCAACAGAAAAATCACTTTAATACCAATTGCCTGAAGATAGCTCACTGTAATGAACATTGATCTGGTTGTGGATATGGCTTGCAGTTTAGTTTACAAGTTTTAGTTTAGATAGATGGATAATGGATATGGGCCAGGTCAGAACATAAAACAAGAATAGAAAGTGCTGGAGAAAAGCAGCAGGTCAGACAGCATCTATCAGAGTTAACTTTTCAAGTCCAGTATGACTCTTCTTCAATGAGAATATAGGTTGGAAACATGGCTGTGAACTTTGGATTTGGCTTAAATATGAATCTATCATAGGCCTAGATCAGAGCCGTTTTATTTCAGCACACCATTTTAAAT